TTTATAAATTTGTAAATTGATAAGAAAAAATATTTAATTAAAATATAATAAATTTATTTTTAAACCTTAATATTATACTATATATAATCCTAAAAGTATAGTTTAAAATAAAATCATTAGATTTAATATTATTAATAAGACTTTTAATTTATTTTATAAAATATAATGTATCAGAAGTGATGATATAACCTATACATATTAATAAATCAATGTTAAACCCCAAAAAGTTTTTTGGGCCCCTGATCTTAATTGATAACGTGCCTATCTTCTCCAACTTTGACATATCTTATTAGACATAGAAATTTATTTTAATGGTGCACCCTCACCTGAGGATAGTAGTTATCTCAACCAAAAATCACTTTTATTAGTGGTCAAATTTTGGGGTATCTCATAATTTGCGGCAATGGTTAAAACACTATTGTAAGAATCTAAACATTTATATTTGAAATTATACATTTCGCACACTTATTTATAGGCAATACAAGTAAATATCCAAATCATTTTAGTAAGCTTATCAGTAGTACAAGCTGTTAATCTGTTGACTTTTCAAGAAAATTTTTTGTATTAGATGTTAATTTATTATCTCCTAAATTTTTGATAAATTTATCTTTTAAAGAAAATAAGCTAGAACTTGCGACTTAATCGTTAATATCGGTAATTTATTGAGTTTAGATATATTGAAAGCGGGCGAAACGGAGAGTCAGTCACTCCACAATTCAAATTCTCGTGTAACATACGGTTGGCTTAGTCGGAAAGAGGCGTTTAGACTTGATCGATGGTTTGGGTTCGTAGGTAAATATTTCTTCTTCACTTGTCTTGGGTTTTTCTCTCCTGAGCTTTCTACTAACTTTATTCTCAATTACCATACTACTTCGGGTAATTGGACAACACGTATAAACTCAACTATCCTCAATCCTTCGGGATAGTGGAACGATACAACCACGGCTGATCCTGGTATTTTAGGATACAACAGCTGGACGGAAATTTAACAATGCTACGTGATAGAACAGATAATTGCAAGAATCTGGTTTTTATGATCTGGGATTTAGCGATTAGTTAATGTAGCAAGGGAGACGGTTATGTATTTATTATTATGTAAAGCCGTTCGAAGTTGATTCTTCGGTAACGTCACCCCCAGCTGATGGCTCCCCCCGAGAAATGAACAACCAATCAAACCGCTGGAACATTGACCAATCAAATTGTCTCATATTTGTTCATTTTATATGTTCGTTTAATTCCCCTCCTCCGCCTCCTCCCCATCCTCCTCCTCCCCATCCTCCTCCTCCCAAGAGTTCTAAAAGTGACGTTACCGAAAATTCAATCGCAAGCGGCCTAAGGGCCAGTTATTATTTTAATAAAGCGAAGTTCGAGAGGTCTCTCTTCCCTTAGGACATTTTTAACCTTTATATATAAGAACAATTTACTATATACATTTTCACGTTCTATATTAACTTTATCTAAGCTGTGTTTACTATAATAATTATAACTACATCAGTGTTCCCCCCCCTTTACTGACTACTTCGCCCCTTTGATCGGAAAGGACTTTTCCTACGTTTCGGTAGATTCTGACTTTTCTGGCCGGGTAACACCTTTTTAGTTAGCCGTGTCACGTGCCACGTGACTTAGCCGGATAACAATATATATGTAAAAATTTGTGTGATCTTGAACAAGTATGATAAAAGAAATTAGATATTAAACTTAATGAAATGGATTTGAAAATCACGTTAAATTTTGTTAGCAAATAGAGAACTAAATAGACTAACTTATGAGGTTGCTAAGCGATTATCTGTAAGTAAACTTGATTTATTATAATCAGTTACAGGTTTGAATAGGCTTTAAAATGAATGCTCATGATTCTGATTCGTACGCATGATATCTAGTGATGGGAAAAATGCGCATTTTATAATAACATGCGCATTCATGCGCATTAATGCGCACGAAATGTTTCATGCGCATGATATCGCATGATAAAAAAAAGGAAAAAATGAAAAAATGATCGAGAGGAGAGAAATCCTGATGGGATAAAATGCGCATGAAGCCCATCTCTAATGATATCACAATAAAAAATCTATAAATTTTATATAGTGACACGGTCGAAACGGCGAGTCAGTCGCAACATACAAGTCAGCTTTCAAAGAGGCGTGTTTTATTTGGCGAGTGGATAATTTATGATTGTAGGTATTATTACAGCGAAAGCAGGATATTATTATTATGGGGCAGATTTTATTTGAATCATGAACGATGAATGTTTTCTTCGTAGGGCTCGAAGCCTTTATTATATACTTTCTTTTACATAAGGCATGTTATACACTCTATTCGTGATATAGCACTTATATTCATTAGTAATTAATGTCTATACTAATTATACTGATTATAATGTTTATACTGATTGTTATAATTATACACTATATGCCACTGATTCCCCTTATTACACTGATATCCATTATCAACCAGATATAGAGTATACAACGAATACAGCGTCTTGGCACGGTCGAAACGGCGAGTCAGTCGCTTCTCAGTTGGATATGTCGTGTAACCTACGAGTCGACTGAGTCGATAAGAGGCGTGTTAGATTTGTCGAGTTGAGGTATTTTACGATCGTAGGTATTATAATAGAATGAAAACAGGGAATTATTAGGGGCAAATTTTATGATAAGTGCGAACTGACTGTTCTTATAGGGCTCAAAGCCTTTATTATATATTGTTCTATTACATATGCACTCCTAAAACCGTATTTATTATATAACCCATTAATCATAGTTTTAATCTATTTCCCTTATTACTCTTATTACACTTATACCTACTAATAGTTTTAAACGACTTTAATCCGGGAAACCCATATTAGGTAGATGATCGACGTAGCCGTTACGTAATCGTTGCTGCGCCACATCGATCATCCCTTCCACGTGTTTCCGGGATCACGTTTCACAGCTCACAGTATACTGCCGGTAAACCCATTTTAATTCGTTACTACTCCACATCGATCACCCGCTTCAACGAGCTTCCGCATTACCATCCTACCGTTCACAATAGTACTCAAATTCAAAATCTAATACATATTACCTTATTTCTTTCTTTATTATTTTACATTTATTTATTATATAGACGCTATCAAAGGAATATTTTAAAGAGATTTTCTTGTTACTTTAATTGGTTTTCACTTCTAATCAGCATATGGGTTATACACTCTACTATTTGATGTACTACGTGATGTACTACGTGTTGTACTACTTGTACTGTTTGTTGTACTACTTGGTGTGCTACTTGATGGTGTATCAGCATATGGATTATACACTGTGCTATTTTGTGTATTACTTGGTGTGTCAGCATATGGATTATACACAGTTCTACTTGGTGCATTACTTGATGGTGTATCAGCATATGGATTATACACTGTGCTATTTTGTGTATTACTTGGTGTGCCAGCATATGGATTATACACAGTTCTACTTGGTGCATTACTTGATGGTGTATTTGCATATGGATTATACACAGTTCTACTTGGTATATTACTTGGTGGTGTATCAGCATATGGATTATATACAGTACTTCTTGGTGTACTACTTGGTGTATTAGCATATGAATTATACACTGAACTCCTTGGTGTACTACCTGGTGTATCAGCATATGGATTATATACTGTGCTCCTTGGTGTACTACCTGGTGTATCAGCATATGGATTATATACTGTGCTCCTTGGCGTACTACCTAGTGTACTACTCGGTGTATCAGAATATGGGTTATAAACTGTGCTACTTGGTGTGCTACCCGGTGTATCACCATATGGATTATACAATGTTCTACTTGGTCTAGTACCAAATGCGCCAGCACCAAAAGTTCCACCACCAAGTCTCTCAAACAGTTTTGGAATATAGGCTTTTGCATATGATTGTAAGAAAAACTAAATGTATACAAAAGAAGTTAAGCAGTGAACGTTATCTTTTGAAAAGTATCATAAAAACTAAAAAAATTTACCTCATGTTCAGCACTGTGGAGCGAAACGAAATTATGTGCTAATTCGTGACAAAATGTCATAAACCAAGCTATTACTGCTTTATCATAAGGATCATTGAATTCTATATAATATTTCAAATTAAAGAATAATGTCCTATCACGATTAAAGGCAACCGTTGTTGAATCAAGATCATAAAATATATTTAATTTGTTTCGTGGAATTTCAAAAATTTCGGCAACGTTGACAAGAACTATGATAAAACCTTTCAAAGATCTTGTCATGTTATCAGATAAAACACTAGATGGGTCCATATTACTTGCAACGTGAACTTCAATTTCACTCTCGGTTTTAACATATTTTAATGAAGTTTCTACATCGGAAAAAATAATGAGATATATAAAATATAAATAACTTCAGTATTGTAATAAATCATATAAACATGTATAATACCTGGCACAGAATCACAACGACTTTCAGGTACTGAATTAACAGTTGGTGGATTATAGACAGAATCCTGAAAATTTGACCTACAAGACATGATACCACTACGTAATAAATTTTGTAATTCATTATTAGGTATGGGTGCAGATGGGTCTATTTTCCTGATTTTAGTCGGTGGTTCCATGGTTGGTGGTCTCACCTCTGGTGGTCGACCTTTAGTTGCTTTCTTTGTTTTTGCGATTGGATACCCAAGTCGTTGCAAAACTTCTATAGAAGATGTCAGGTATGTGTACAAAGTCAAAGAATGTTCACGCTGAGGTCTCTTATGGATATACTGAATCAAATTTGATGAGATATCTGTATAATCTGTTTTTGTACGAGAAATATAGAGGGTATATGTATTCTCATTCTCTGAAATACTGGAACTAACTTCTTCCTTATTGATCATATTGTTAGTTGTAAGTTCATAAGTGACATATACTCGATCAACTTCCATAACCTTTAATTTTTCTATCCATGTCCCTTCACATTTTATATTGTCATTGGGTATACTTGAATAATACCAAGGGACCCGTTCCAATATGTTTTCTAAAACTTCATCAGAAACTTGCGAAGATATTGGAGTTCCTTCAGTTTCGTGTGTTATATTGACCTTTGAACTAAGTTGCTGGCATCCCAATACCTTGATAAAATAAAAGGCAATGTTATATATCATGTGCTTATAAACAATATATAGTTATTGGATGCGAAGCAGTGAATAACAGAATTATTTGCAAAATAATTCATTTTATCTGGCTGTGTACATAGCATCCAATAACGGTTTTATCGGGTAGCTTACGACGACCGAACCAACAGAATAATTCGAGTTCTTTTGGTGATAATTGCGTCATTATCACCAAAATAACTCGAATTATTCTGTTGGTATGATCATAGTAAGCTGTCAGATAAAACATAATACACTAAACATTAAATGAAAACGTACTCTATAAAATTCTTCCATTTTTTGATCCATAAATTGACATGTTAATGCATTAAACATGTCTCGATAACGATCATTATCGTTTATAAAGATTTCATTTGCACAAGCTAATTCATAACGTTCAGAATCATCATACTTTTTTCTACCCAATAAAATTGGTGATTTTTTCATTTCTTCATATAAGGTAGGCTTCTCTTTAAATATTGAAAGATAATTAAATGCAATAGTTCCGAGAATTGAAATATAAGAATCCTCGTCCATACGATTCCAGAAATCTTTAGACGATCTAACTATATATTCAGCTAAATCTAAAGATGATGGTTCTCGTTTAACTCCACAATTTTCCAAAAATATGTTTGCAGTTTCACCAAAATCAACATTCGGAAGTATATTAGCATAGCTAAATCGAAGAAAAAATTATTATATCAAAAACTGTAAGTAATCATCAAAATGAAATTTATATTGAAGTAACTACTTACCTTTCATTTAAGCAGTTTAAAAAACAATCCCTTGGGGAGTGATAAATAATTTTCTCGGGCATGGATTTGTCTTGGACGGGTATAAATTTAAGACTTCTAAGCTCTTTCCAATCATCATGATCAAAATCGCCTCTGCGTGATGATAAATAGTTGAAAAACATCTTTGCATCATCTATACTATTCGGAAGATTATTCGATAATCTTTTCAATAGTTGCTTGCCATTAGGATGTTGTCTGACATCCAATTCTTCGGCTCTAATACGCAAATCTTTACGTAAAGCGTTAAATCCCATTATCATACAATCGGGATTTGAAAAACAATCTGATGGTTTTGCATAAGTTTCAAAGTTATCACATGGTAAAAATTCATCTTGGACCAGAATTGCTTTATATTCTCTATATTTTTCCCTAAGGTTATCAACGAAATAATTTAGCGCTTTCTCTCGAACTTCTGGAGCTGTAGGCGGAGATGCAAGGCGGAGAATAACTTGCAGGGATGGATATTCTTGAAGTCCAAGATTCATAATAAAATTCACTAAAAAAGTGACATTCGTTATAATAATCAGTAAATAATTATCATGTCTTCTTTTCAATGAATTTTTTAGTTCACATACCTTCATCTGAATTTCCAATCCAATTACCGTTCCAATAAATTACAGGCAATCTAAGCCATCTATTAATAGGAAATGGAGCATATAGTTCTTTTGCCAAATATCTTCGAACATGGGCTTTTGGCTTATTTAAGTCGACGTTCTCTTCTATCCAAATTGCAGTCGTTTTTAATTTTTCAATCTCATTACTTTTAAGGTTTTTTGATATCGAAGCGAAATATTTTATAAGATTCATATGATCCAAATTTTTATTATTAACCATGCGACTGAAAACGAGTTGTAATTCTACGTGCTATAAATCAGGAATTAAGGAATTAATACTGACAAAAGGGTACAGTTATTTAAATGAAAGAAATTAATTTGTAGTTTCGTTTTGGTTTTACCTTCTGAACACCCATTTGCACGAAAAAATCTTCGGAAACATCCTTCATAGAGAATCTTGGCAAATCATCAAACAGGGTTACTTCCGGAAAATAAGTGTCAATAGGCCTTTTCAAACCAAATTGGGTTGGAATACATGATTTTTGAGAAAGTAATTTGCATATAGCAATCCGTGATTCACCATCCATCAATTTATAACCTTGAGAAAGAATTCCTATAAAATTTTCTGCAAAAGCTGAATCATTTCCTATTTTATATTTTTTGAGAATATGTTTCGCCCAAATTCCCAAGGGAAGTTCTGTCCAATTTCTATATGGAATGAAATGAAATTAAAATTATAATAAGAGACCCATAATTGAATTATTTAATTGAGGTTGCGTAATACCCAAAATATTTCTGCAATTCTTTAAGTTTAAATGCTTTGCTGATAGAATATGGTAAAACATCAAATGAAAGATCTGATTCTGGTGGTATTATTTTTATATTAAGGTAATAACGAACGTTTTTCAATGGTAAAATATTCGTTCCAACTCGTAAAACAGCATGCTGTAAAAACTTTTCTTGTCCTAATTTCGAATTATTTTGTTTTGAGGAATACGATATCCACCATTTCATAGCAGCTTCCATTTCATCCTGATCTAAGGTTCGACTTTTCAATTCTTCAAATACATCATTTGTTGATGCTTTTTCGATAAGCTTTAATACAGTTTCCGCCCTATCAAAGAAAAAGTTACATTGTTTGAATACTATTTCTGGAACGACCGAAATGGTTTTAATAAATGCAGCCATCTCTGGGTCAGGTAGCCGTATCATGTTAATGGCTTTGACTCCATTAGTGGATAATATGGATAATTTTGATGAACAGCAATCGAAAAATTGTTGTTCAATTATCTCTGCCACTTTAAAATTTGGAGTACTATCACCGAAACTAAAATGAGCGAGTACATGCGCTGCACGCTTTTCGCAATCGGATGTTGATTTTTGTGCAATTTGGTACATTTTGGAAATTTGACACATCTCACTCTCGTATAATAAACGAGATAATATTCCAGCAGAGCATAACATTTCCGAATTGTATACAGAAAGGGTTGGTTCAACTAAGTCAATCGACTCACGTTCAACCTGTGGAAATTACATGGTTATAACTTTTATGATAATTTTTAAATGAAAATTAAGAGTATAAGTACCGTTGGGATGACACGAGCAGCCACATTTACGGAACAACCAGTGGTTTGATGTGTTTGGAAACCGATAAATATTCTTCCTTGCTTAGGGAATGGTAATAAATCCTTGAAAATATTAGAGGGTTCATCCATTGTAAATTCGTTGTATTTTGGAAGAAGGAGATGTATTTTCGTTTGTTTCGGAGGTTTTTTCTTTGTTAACCTTTCTATTTCTTCACAAAAGTCATCTTGAACTCGAACCTCCAAGTTTCCGCTGGCAATTTGGAGGCATACAGATGCTACTTCTATTGGGTAGTTCCCAGATGGCAGCGCCCCAGAAGGGATGCAGACCTTATGTGCATCGATTTGAACATTGCACACATCCGCAGATAAGAGTTTAAATATGCCTTTCGGAGATTTATTATTTATATCAGATCTAATTTCAATAGATTGGGACTGACTGATATTCTTCTCAATATGAATCACGCGAGCTTTATTAAAATACACGGAAACTTCACAGAGATTGCCAGTGAATCCCTAAAATAAGATGATATTGCATAATCTACAACACGATCATCAGATGGCTATCACTACGATCGTTATAATGAAACCCTTACCAATGAAGTTGCCATGAAACGACTGAAGTTGTCCAAGTCTGGAAACTAAATGAAAAAAGTTAATTCAGAATCCAATTTGATTATTTTTAATGTTATAAATTATGTGTTCTCATACTTCTCCAGGGGTTCTCATTTCCATTTCGAATGTAGTCCACTTCAGATCCTTAGAACCATCAGGACCGTGTCTCGCGTATAATTGGTCACCTCTCCAGAAAAATTCCATCATAAGTCCTCCAGAAGATACTCTTTGAGTGATAAAAAAATGAATGATTTCATTAACTTTATGAATGAACTGATGTCCCCAGGTATTTAACGTCTCGGAAGAAAAAATATTTGATCACCTACTTCGGATTTTCGCAGACGGAGAATAACGAGTAAAATCCAACTCCAAAAGCACCAATCTTATTATACAATTAAACATTAGTGGTTAAATTATGTTGAATAATGAATTTGACACTGCAGACTTTCGTTAGATTATATACTTTTTGTTCATCAGGATTTCCTTCAGCGATTTTTTTTAATCGGTTCCAATCTTGCTCTCGAAAATGAAAGCCATTATTCTTAAAAATTGTTTTTGTAAGAGTTCCACTAGTGGTACCTTCAAATATTATTTCAACTGCAGTGGTTTTTGCATCATCTTTGAGCGAATGATTATAAGTTTATCATATTATTAGAAACACACGCCAAAAAAAAAAACCAAATAAAAAAGATTCAAATCACCACATCTTAAAAATCCTAACCTGCGTTCTGCATCAATTCTCGGAAAACCACAAATTCGGCTGCATATCTAAAAAAAAAAAAACCACACAAGTTAGAAATGAGAAAATATTAATGGCATTATAAGGCTTAAAATTTACCGAGCCAGCATTTTATCGATTAAATGCCTTTGATTGACTTCGACCCGAATTTCGGTAACCGAATTTAGTTGATTCGTATAACTAGTCATCTTGATATTTCGTTCTATGAAAATTAAACCTTTTTTTTTTTTTGTAAAGGACCAGTTTACTCAAACTTTTATATTTGAGCCTCCGGAATTTCGGACCTCAACTCCATTAAATTAATTTCGTGTGACTAAGTAAATAATCCTGTAGAAAAGATCGACATTCCGGATGTCCCATAATGCTTTGTTATGAAGAAAAGTTCAAATAAGAATTTTCATACTTGTCTTAATGAAAATTGTTTTGGATTCACAAATTACAAATATATACAATTTTTTTTATACTGAACATCCGCTTAAACTTTATTTAAAATTCAATAGTCAGATATAAACCCTAATAAATTAGCTGTTGCTATTTTGCAATGTAAATTTTTGTACCTTGAGACTTTATCAAACAAAATGACTGCGTAAGATGCACGTATAATAACCACTGTCAAAAAAGCTAAACACATAAAGACACGACACAGATTTTGGTATTGGAAATGTGATCGTTATATAATCTGAAAATAGGTTGCACTTATTGTATAACATTATTACCTATGAAATGGTTTATTTCTTGAAAATAGTCTATTTATGAATACCAAAATATTACTGATCTTGAGCAATATATACTTCATGAGGCTTACCCGTCAACACCTAAAGAAGCTTGCTTCTATATTTGGCAAGGATCTGTATTGAACGTTCTGACGCATTTTCATATCTTTGTTTCTATTCCTTTCTTGGTTGGTGTCACGTAATTAAATTAGAAGGTCATTATTGTGATTTACGTGGAAATCGATTACGGAAATGTAAATAATCGCCCTGTCCTACTCGAAAAGCAACTTTAATATAGGCAGACGTTTGAAAAATCCTTAATATGGGTTTAGCAATCATCCTATGTTCCTAATTTAAGCTAATGTAGTCGTGTAGCTACCCTGATTTATTAATCCAAGTATTTGCTTATAACATTTACAATTTCCCACTCACTTGACTGCAGGCTCTCACTTGACTGCAGGCTCTCACTTGACTGCAGGCTCTCAACCAAACCTTCCACACCTTCTTTCGAGTAGCCTTCACTGCGTTTCATGTTTCTAATGTGGTTTTTTAATTGTGTTCATAATATTTTATCGGAATAAAATTGAAAGGAAATACAAATGGATCAAACAGTTTGAAGTTGTTATAGAAATAAAATTGAAGTTTAAAGTATCATTGAAATAGTTTACAATTGCATAAAATAAGCAAATTAAAAGTTTACTCAAACGTTATTCACTATGGATTAATTAATAAACGTGACGATGTCATTTACTATAATGAATTAAAATAAGGACTACGGTTGATACTTGTGCGATTCATTAATAATTTATCAAACGTTGTTGTTGTCGCATCTGAAGTAACGATTTATCTAAAATAGCTACTTTAGATATCTAAAGTAGCGCCCTGGCAAAAATTATAACTTAATGCATGCATGAAGATCTCATTTCAGGGGCTTAGTTTTAGCCGGGCTACTTTAGATGCAACATTATCACCACATTTAAATCGTTAATATTTCAGTTGTTGATGATAAAATTACTGATAAGGCTACGAGTGTGATCTCTCAGTTAATTGTAAATTTTACCAAGACAGGGATAAAAAAAAGGGTTCTTGTTGTAAAAGGGTATAGATTGAAATGATAAATTCACATATTATTTTTTTACTACGTAGCAGACACCCGATTTGTCACACAGATCATGTGTGTAAAATTTGTAATATATGATCAAAATGATTGACGCACTTTTTCGACTTATCAAATAATAGAAAAGTTGTCTGTTTAATTTTTGAGTATCATTTTGCAAATTCTCTAGCATTTGAAGGTTCTTATTGAATTTTAAGGGTGATTGAAAATAAAATGGAAAAGAATGTGAACCTTAAAGTTAGGCTATTTTTTTAGTGATGTGAATATATGATCTACATACTGCATAAATTGCATTCTTGATATCTATATAACCCAAAAACTTAACTACATCAAAAAGGTAACTATAAAACTTACTCCGCTTTAACCGACCCACTAAAATGGGTTTCCCGGGATTTTCGGTCGTAAAGTCATTTAGAACTATTAGTAGATATAAGAGTAATAGTGGTAATAAGGGTTTTAAGAGAAAACTATGCTTAATGTGTTATGTAACAAATAAGGGTTTTAAGTAATAAAGGACGTAAAAGGGGTATATGAGAATAATATGTTTAATAGGTTTAATACGTTTAGTACCTCTAAGAGTGCATATGTAATAAACCAATATATAATAAAGGCTTCGAGCCCTATGAGAATGGGTAGTTCGTGCTTGTAATAAAATTTGACCCTAATACTTTCCTGCTTTCGCTACATTATAAGCCGTTCGTCGATTGTCAAGCGACTGACTCGCCGTTTCGACCGTGTCAATATATAAAATACTTAAAATCCATGTAAAAAAATACGATCAAAGAAAAATTAATGTTGCATGATGAGAATGGAATACATCATAATATAGCAATAGTATTTTCAGATTTATGAAAATATTTTGGATACAATATAGGCTTTGCAAGCATATTTCCTAAACTTATTGTGAAGAAACCTTTTTTAAATTAAATGGTATAATAAAATCGAGCTAAAAGGTATTATTCTGATTTAAATATATATGAAATGGTTATTAGTTATTATATTCATATTCATGTATCGCGAGTGTGCCTTACATCTAAACTATAAGAAAAAAATTTAATTTAAATCAAATAAGATTTTAATGATGATACGTATTTAATATACGTACGGAGCGTCATTGTTGCATTTTTTAGCACGTCTGCAATCTATGACAGGTTAAACCACTAATTTCAATCACTGTCTGATTATATTCCCAGAGTAAGACTTGACCGTCATAAACTATAAAAAAAATTAGCTTATAAATTCAAAAGTTGCTTTTGATATCAACTAAACAAATATTTATATAAAAATAAAAACTTTTTAAAATTAATTACTTTAAGCAAAGCAAAACAATATTTCGTTTCTTATTGTTCAACACATTCTTCCTTAAAAGATACTTTTTTTACTTAATTCTACCTCTTTCGAATGAAGATGACTCAAAGAGCTTTCTTTCATATTATTTATTCGTGACCTCATATTTTCGCAGCACTTTTGATTGAATAGTCACGACTAAAATCATAAGGACAAATATTCGGGTGATTTTATTTTTATTACATTACACTGATCTTTGAATTTATCTAAAATGGTTCATAATGTTGGCCTAATATTTTGGCAGTTTAAATTAATAACTAAAAATGAAATGTTGCCGGAAATATCGTTGTCATCCATTTTCTTAATTCCGTTTTATAAGTTTTTTTTAAAAATATATATATATATCAAAATTTATATAACCTGCACTTTATTAAAAAATTAGTTCTCTTTAAACTTTAATTTGCGCACTTTACTCATGTTAGATAAAAAAAAAATTAATTTATAAAATCGCAAAAAAAACCAAATACGACCAAATCGGTTTTATATATTCAACTATAATGATAAGCCTTTCAAATTATAGCTTTTCATTATGATTTAAGGCGGTAATTGAAATCAGTGGCTTAACCTGTCACAGATTACAGACATGCCATTTTTTATAAATATTGTGGCGAGTAGATCATGTGAAACGTGGATTTTTATGGTATGCTCGGGTACTCCATTAATCATGTTATTAAAATTAATCAATGAGATTTAATCAAATATTCTTGCACCATACGTATTTGCTTAAATTTCCCATTCTCCTTCACGTCTAAGCCAAAAAAATTCACATTAACAAACCATTCAACTTTGAACGTCATTATAAAATGTAATGTAAATTCTTAAATAATATTATTATAGGAATAATTAAGCAGGAGTAAGGATAACACCTCAAAAACAAAGAATACAAATATTATCTAGATCTTTAATAAGCGAATCTTTTCAATTTTTTTTATAAAAGCCTCTGTTTTTTTTTGATTTTATATCTAATAATTTTAATCTAATCGTAACACCATTAACAAATACTTTTGTTTCTTGATAAACCATAGAATTGATAGCCATGAACATGAAGTTTTTGTCAGTTTTAACTTTAATCCTCGTAACTGTTTTTCACGTTGCAATTGCAGCTTCCATTAATAAAAGTAAGCATTAATTTATCTTTTATTTGTATAAGTATTATATCCATTTTTATTAAAACCATCTCGCATTATTAGGAAAAGGTCCTCCTACTTATTCAAGTAATGTTCGGTTCCTTTCATATAATACTTTATTTTTAAATTATCACATTTACATATTATAATTTATTAGAAGGTACCAGGTTTTCTAGAAATAATCATAAATTGATTTCAAAATTATTACGCTCCTAGTATAAATTTTTGTCAAAAATTTTTAAAAAATAATACAGCCAAACCTCAGTTATATCTCCACTAATTTATTTTTAACCTAAATTATATCCTCACCCTTTAGCAGAATAAATTTCCTGTATTTATTAAGTATTGCCTCAGCGTTATCTCTAACTAGTTATGAAAAATGTGGTGATATAACTGAGGTTTGACTGTGTTGATAAATGGTTTATACGATTCAAATTATCTAGTTGCATCAAATCATCTCCCCTTAATTAATTTCAAAAGTTATAGTTTTTTCTTTAAATTTTATCTCATTGATATATGGGTGCAAATTCATAAAAAAACAAAAACGCATTACGTTATAAATTTTATCCAGAACTACAGAGCAATGCACTTATTTTACAAAGTTCATTAGATGTTTCTAGATGATTTGCATTATTTGCATAATTACATTTATTTTTACTATGTTATAAAAAAATTGTCGTATTTAATTTTGGGAGACATCATAAGTCCGGGGGCGAAGTCACATATGCAAGTGGTAACAGACAGGAATTAAAAAATTGCGTTTTTGATAATCACACTATAGATGAACAAGGGTGATATTTTTAAGCATCGAAAACGTAAAGCTTGTATCACTTTGCATAAAAAAATTGAGCGCCTTCGCTATGCTACGATTATTGCATCTTTATTACGCATCTATATATAATAACATTATTATAATTTATTTATTTTATTAACAAATTCTTAGAAATTTTGTGAGTATATCTCGTTTGGATACGTTTATATATCTTTCAATGTTGTTATTAATTTTTGGTTTTATTTCTATGATTTCTTCTTACATTTTACCAATATTAGCTTGTAAGTATAAGCTTCATTATATAATAAATCTTTTTCCACTATTACTATTAATCAACTATTTTATTAAATCATTAGTTAGTAAGTATAGGCTTCGAGTATATGTCTTTTGTTTGCCGCTATAACTTTTTAAATTTTTAATCAATTTTACATAATCATTAGCTAGTAAATATATTCTCAAGTTTTTTTAAAGTCAATTCCTGTCATTTGCAACATTTATGACTCATAACTTACATTATTAAACCATCAGCCCGTAAGAATTTACTTTAATTTACGACAAATGTTTTGTAAATCATTTCATTCCTAACTTCCGTGTTTAATTGCTCAATGTTTTCATAAATCATTAGAATGTAAGTAGATGCTTTAATTTTACGATGTTCATTGTTTTTTTTATTTGACTTCATAATTCTTTATGATCATTTGTATTTCTAACTTTATAATTTTTTATGACTACTTTTAATTTTGACTTATAATTCGCCTATAAATTATTAGCTTGTAAGTGTATGATTCCGTGTTTATTTAATTCTTCATTATTATAATAGGGGAGGGTGAAACACGCGCTGTTAATGAGTAAAACCCACTACATAGATCACGTTAGGGTGAAATCCGCGTTTAACTATGTCTGAATTGTGTGTCAGGTTAGTGCCAGACTACCAATCAGATTTCAAGATCAGGTGTAGCGTTACACGATCAGAAAAAGCGTTTGTCATGCCAAAATATCGGATATTTCTCAAAAATTTGCATAAGAAACCACCTTCCGTGCTTTAATTAAAAGTTTTCCTTGAACGATTCAACTATATTTTTTGTTAATATTTAACTTTAATACAAATGCTAACCTTAACATCAATGAATGTTAAAGAATTTTGCACATTTCGGACGCACGATCGGTAAAATGCATAACCTGGCACACAATTCAGACAAGTTTTTTTATTATTCAAAAGCGGATTTCACCCGCATGTGATCTGCGTAGCGGATTTTACTAATCACAGCGCAGGTCTCACCCTGTAGTATTATCTTATCATTACTAATTTTTTGGATCTATTTCCTAATATATTAACAATTACTAGCTCGTAAGTATATGTTAATTTTGTTATGAACAAATTTTTATAGCTTAATGCTTTATTTATTATTATTAATCATTAGGGGGTATGAGTTGCGATTTAATCAATTTAAATTTATTGACTTATTTCTGAGGTTTAATATATAATTTTAAATATATTATATTGTAATTTTATTAATTTATTAGTTGGTAAGTATATGTTAAATGTCTTTGATCCTTCCCTTACGTTTATGAACACACCTGAATTATTTTTGAATTATATATTTTTATTAAATTCTTTGACCTTACAATCAATTTCTTAAATTTCGAATCAATATTTTTCTAATAACCAGCTCGTGAGTATATGTTTAATTATGATGATAATTTCTTTGTAATTATTTCCATATTTTGACTGTATTGATAAATTATTAGTGTGTAAGTATATATTTTTACTCTAAATAATTTATGGTATTATTATTCTTAAATTTGTTCTTATTTGTTAAACTCATTAGTTCGTAAGTTTAGGATTTAGTTTTATTATAGTGATTATTTGAATTTTGCTTTAATTATTTGGCATTGCATTATACGAATTAGCTGGTAAGTACTATGTATAATGATCAATTACAAATTTATTTGATTTGTTGACTAATATATTTATATCATTACTAGCAAGTGAGTATATTCTTCAACTTTTACCATTAATTTATGCCTAATCTAATTTGTTACAACATCTTATATTTCCTTATATTATTTAGCTAGTAAGTATCTCTAAATTTATTACTATATTACTCTGAATTCAATAATCATTGGTTTTGACATTTATTAATCCAATAGCGGGTGAATATAACTTTAAAGTTTATAATCAATTATTTGTGATTGTTACAATTCCAAATTAATTCATTATCATTTTAAACGTTTATATGTTTATTCATTAATAAATAGTGGGTGTGTATATATTTTTTTTTAATTTTATAGTAAATTATTATTATTTCTAACTTATAATTTATCGATTCAATTAGAACGTAAGCATATGCTTTAATTTTACAATAACGATTATAATTGTTAATTCCAAATTTATATCGTTCTGAAATTTTTTGCAATATTATTGATACTGGATTATCAGCCTGTGAGTAAATTATTCAACCTATAAAATCAATTATTATTATTACTATACACAATTTTAATTAATCTATTTTCACCGTTTATAATAATCAGGTGGTGTGTATATTTTTTTAATTGCAATTACAAAATTACAAAATTATTGCAATTACGTGTTTTTGATTTGTAATCTTTCACTGCAATTGTTTCTGCACAATATTTAGGTGGTGAGTGTATTCTCAAAATTATAATTATTACATAGATTGAACTTTGTGTTTTGTTAATTTATATTTATCATTAATTATCGAATTAAGTGCGCAAGTGTAAGTATATATTTAATTTCATAACTATTATTCTTTATCATTTCTAATTTTATTATTATATTAAATTATTAGACCGTGAGTATAGATTTTGTAATCAATTAATGATTTTTTTATCCTTAACCCTTGAATTAATTCTATTGGTACTATTTCATTATTATTAAATCATAGGACGTGAGTATGTTTTAGATTTATATAATTAATAATTTATCATTCTTTAATACTTTCGTATAATTTGCCAAAATTAGGTGGTAAGCATATAATAAATCGATTTTTAGCTAATATCACTCATATTATTCGTTAATTTTGCGTCGTATTTTATTAATTTTTTAGCAAGTAAGTTTATGGTTCAATTTTATTATTTATTATTACTTAACGTTATTAATCATATACGTTATTAATCATTAGAGCGTGAGTATTTATACAATTCTAATATCAATTTTTGCATTGAATTTGATTCTGATTCGATCATATTCAATCAAATTATAGCTGGTAAGCATATTTTCAATTTTAAATTTCCGTTCTTACTCATTTTGTATTAATTTATTTGAAAAAAAATTTATGTTCCATCAAATAATTAGCATGTAAGTAAATTTTACACCATTATAATTGATACTTTGTGATTATCGTTTCTAACTTTTATATCATATTGAATATTTTGTATAAATATTAGCCCGTAAGTATATCTTTCGATTTACTTCCAGATTTTTCAGACTCTATTTATATTAATTTTTTTGCACCATTTTTCTAATAATTAGTAAGTAAGTATATTTCTTAGATTGTTAATTAGAAAGCTTTATTATCAAAATTTCTGCTTTTATCATTAAAATATTTTTGAATTATATAGATGGTAGGTCTTGTTTCAACAATATATTATTTATTGGATATGTATTAATTTATTTCTATTAAATTATTAGCTTGTAAGTATATGAAATTTTTATTAATTTTGCGAGCTTTTTATTAAGCTTACACTTAATATATTTGTACTATTATTAGCTCGTAAGCATATAGTTTAATTTTATAATCAATTTTTTTAAATGATTTCGACATTATTAATTTGTGTTTTTTTTTTATTAAATTATTAGCAAGTGGGTATATTCTTTAATTGTATAATTGCTTAATTTCTATATTTGACTAATATATAACTTTTTATACATTTATTTTGCAAATAATTAGTTGGTAAATATTTTGAACTTTTTTATATTTAATATTAAGTTGATTATTTTATTTGATATTTTAAATAATTTTATTAAATTATTAGCAGGTAAGTATGTTTTTAAAGTTATAATAGATTACACAATTATTAATTATAATATTTTGCATATTTAATAGATGGTAATTATGTTTAATTTATTATTAAATGTTTATGATAATTATAAAAATTAAATGGTAATCGATTATTGTTTTTTGATTTTAAAATTTTAAATTTAGCTTCCTCAAGAATTTCACCTAAAGTAATAATTACAAAGTTTTTCACTTGTAATGTGTTATATTTTAAAATATTTTAGATTTAAAATATTTAGAAGTTGGAATATAAATAAATTTTTTTTTTACTCATATTGACCTAATTGCTCTGGTTTTTTAATAAGACATATATTATATTTGTTTTTGGTAAAGAATAAACTTAATAGTGATTTATGGAGAACTATTGTTATATAATATGAAAAAATTTACAATTTTTATTTTTTAACAAAATTTTAATAGTAGTTAAGGGTAGAGCACAACTATTAATACGTATGGACGAATATTAAGTAGTATGTATAGTCACGTAATTATGTGATAATCACTGCCAGTAAAATTCTTAAAAATTAAATACGTATCACCTGCACTTTGTAATTATGTAAGTAGACCAATGCTTGAGACGTCCCAAACCATGTGTCAATTAGTATCACATGGTTTCGGCAATAAGAAAAAAGCAGCCGAAACTAACACTATACTAATTATCACATGGTTTGGGACATCCAGAATAGTGCCCGATTCGAACGAGCCCCAATAGAACATGAGTCTATTATGCCACCACTACACTAACTTGCATAAGAATCAATCGGAGGGAATGGGTACGGCTTCCACCCTTCCATGTTACTCTTCTTAATTGGTTAATTGCCTTAAGAAAGAGGGCGGCCTCCTTTGCCGGAGGCCAGGGGGCGCCCCCCTAAGGCCCCGCATCAAAATACGAACTTTCCTAATCGTAAGAGCAACATAACAGCTTTGAACTCAAATATCCCAAGATAGAATAGAAGAGAAGCCGTTCACTTGAAATACAGTGGGTTACATCTATAATCGCTATACATATCAAATTTATATGAAAATACAAATTATTAATGATAAGTTTACTGATTTTCGACATAAAGAAGCAGCCTTGAAAAGAAAGAAGAAACAAATGCCGTAGGCTGACTATTGCTATATTGGACTATTCCGTATTTTCAATAGGTATGTTTAACTAATAATAAAAATAAATAACAATGTATTCAAAAAGATACTACATTCGAATTTTTATTGAATAAAATCCTAGATCGAGAGGAGAATTTGATTAACAGGAAATTTTAATATTAGGGAGTCCTTCATTAATTGAAATCAAGAAATGATCCACCTCCTGATGAGTATGTTCTCTTAATTGTTTTTAAAGTCATAGCAACCACAGCATCGTAAATAAAAAGATTTAATGGCGTCATTTTCGAAGATTTCATGATGTATCTAATTCTTAAATTTGCTACACTTATTATGATGTCTTAAGTTGATATAGCAACCTAAAAGATCTATTATAAGCACATTAACACCGTGCACTTTTGGTCTCATAAGTTTTCCTCAAGTTCAAACGATAAACGATTTTATAAAAAAAGTAGGTTATTTACGTACTTTATTTGACATCCAGTATACAACATTATTAACATTTCTGATTTATTAGTTTGAAAATTCGTACGGTATATGAGTGCTGCAGAGCGAAAAGCTGGAAGTGAATATTTAAGTTTTCATCATGGCGAGTTTAGCCCATTTAGGTAGTGAATTCTGATATTACGTAATTCATCATGTATATAATCAGTGTCCTAGCGTTTAGTATAATTTCATATGTACGTATTGTTATTGTTACTGCACTAAATTCGATATGATGAAAACTTATCTAAATGTATGAACACAGTGAAATGCATTTGTAAATGGACAAGTGAAGTAAGTAAATTAAAGATCATGTGACTAGTGTGAGGTCCGAAAACGTGAGCGATATCACGTGGTGTAGATCCCGAATGTCAGAAATGTCAGATATGTCAGATATATTTGATATATCTGATATATCTGATATGTCGCCTATATCGCATAAGTGTGATATATTAGATATATGCGATATATTGAATAAATTCGATATATCCGATATACTAGACAAGTTTATAATGTAAATAGACCAGACAATTTATTATAAATAAAGGGCTTTCCGCCC